CGCTAGAAGAATGTATACACATAGTTTATATTGTAGTGTAGTTCGGCATTTTATTTTATTGGGCCTCAGTAAAAACATGCCGATATTCAGCTAATAAACGAGAGTATTGCTGAGATCTGAGTACAAAATAAATACAATAATGTCAAGCGATGCGTCGAGTGTCCTCCGTTTCATCCGCAGACTAACTGATACAAAACATCCTGATACGCTTTTTTATAACCTCGCGCCATCTGCTCGTCTCTTTGTTCTATCGAGAGTCATAGCGAGCGAGCACGTGATTGGTTGATTACCGCTAAAAAGTTCGATCAATTTTCGAAAGATAACCATTGACCAACAACTATCATCTGTATACCAAACATATCTTACATTCAATCTGAATCAAATAGTGTAATTAAAATTGAAACTCATTCAGAAAGTACCATTTTATAAGCGTTCAAAACCTGACACTATTTCGTCACAATTTTAAACAATTAAAAATCACAGATAAAAATAAAACCAACTAACGTAGTATGTTGTTTTATGTATGTAATGTCGGCCTAAGTGTCCCTAATTTTGGCCCATACATAAAGTCAGCAATCGACTAAATTTTCAATAGCAACCAAAAATATCCATTAGTACCGTCCCAATGACGCGTTCATCTAGATACAATTGATGAATAGCAGATTTTTAGCGATGGGCCCAATCTTAGATCCATAGGCCAACATTAGCGCAATTTCCCCTGTGTGATCAATATCTAAAAGATGTTAGGCCGAATTTAGAAAAATCAAAGTTTGAACTAAGACTATTTCTTCAGAGAATTTCCAAAACTCTAGGACTTTATGAATTTAACATAGATCGCTGCCTGAGACATTACATACTCTTGACCTAGGAAAAAAAAATCGAATTTCACTCATAATTAAATTTTGAGTACGAGCTTAGCACTAAGATTTCCGACTTATTAAATTTTCCTGGATTCTAGGACTTCGATAAACATGATGAAAAATGAATTAAAGTGAATTTAAAATGTTTTAAGAACATATAATTGGAACATTTTTCAAGATCTCGTTTATTTCCAGCTAAGTAATGTTTAGCCTATGATTTTTCTTAGAGGATTTCTCCTTCTTTGAAACATGAACAACTGCCAACAGTCAACAGCCAAACGACCAGAATATGAACATTCTAATCTTAAATATGCCGAATGCTCAATTTTAAATTAACAAAGTGAAGAATATTTCTAAATCTGAAGACATTTCAAGTTTAGAAAATTTCAAAGCTGATTTTTCTTTCATTTATATATGAGCAATTCTTCCGAGTTTCAATAAATGTCATCTCAGGATACATCTAGTTTAAGATTTTCAATAGTGCATTTTTCATTATTCTAATAATTAGCAATTGTTTTCGAGCATATTTTGGTAATGGTTTTTGACATCTTGGATAAACTGTTCATCAACATAATGTTGCCTTTGTACGCTACTCATTCTTTTCTCATACTGGAACAATATTAAAGCCGTCCCGCAAAGAAAATAACCATAAGATGCGCCTAATCACCTCTTCGGTATGGTTCGTGTGTGGTACTAGTTTATTAGGGGTACTATGAAAAGCCAACAACTATTAAAATAATGGCCTAATTATCCATTCGGCTTAGTAACCCATTCGACTTAATGACTTCCGGCCTAATAGTATTCGGCCTCACCATGATCTGCTCAGTGCAGTCAATTAATACAAAATATTCAAAATGCAAAAATTATTCCATTTTTCACAATTAAAAAACGAGAAGCGTGTAGCCAAAAACAGAACAGTACCTTATTGCATGTTATCAACAACAGAACATTTTTAAGTTTGAAAATCTTTCTAACAACCACCAAATAATTTTATTCAGAGCGGTTCCATTGTAGCAAAGGACGCAAAACGTGGTCAGCACTCACACTTATCACGAAACGGTTGCTTTCCAAAGTCAACGACGCATCGACCGAAAGAACTGCTGATGAAGAACAATGAGGAGGACCACACAATGGTTGCTGCCGAGTAAACAGACGATCGCATGCCACACATTGAGAGTGGTCTGCTTCTGTCGACAGCCGAGTGAACACTGAACAAACAAATAGGGTAACTGATGTTGGTTGGACCTATTTGGGCCAGTTTCACACGACGTCAACATTCATGTCGTATTTTTTTATGAATTCAACATATAATTATGAAAAATGCGTGATTAGGGGAAAGATCTACCTTCCTTGTTTCTAATAAAAACATAAAAAGTTAAATATTATGAACAAATGATTTTATAAAACGATTTTATTCAGCAAAGAATTATGATCATGGTTGGACCTAAAAAATGATGATGGTTGAACCTATTTTTGCAAATGCTAGTTTAGCATTTGTTCAAAAACTTGTTTAGAATTATTGGTATCATGAAAAAAAACCCTTTTTATACATTTTTTTTTATGAATTTGCTATTTAAAAAAATCAAGAAATTTGAGTTTAACTTCGTTTTTAAAAAAAGTTCTCTTTCCACGCATTAGCTATTCATCATGGCTCATTTTCTCGGAAATCATTGACCCGATTTGGAAAATTTTTAACGTCAAACTATAGGTATTGTGCTCCCATTGAAAGCTATCGAATATTTTTGGAATCGGTCAACTGGTTCCGGAGATATGGCCGGAACAAGTTTCAGGGTATATGGAACATGGTCCCAATTTTGACACGGAAGGAATAAAACCTATCATGCGACACTTGCGACACATTACTTCCAAATTTTATAACAAGATCAATTACAAAATTGAGTGCCTTGGCCAACCGTATAACTCTTTTCTTTAGCCATTTTTTCAACTTCAGAAACTGATCACTCGGCCAAAACGAAATCGTATTTCAAATCAGCTGCGCATGAAGGATGTAGACAAACCTAAGCGCACCTAGCGGCCGTCTTAGGAAACACATAGGTCCAACCATCATCATACGTAGGTCCAACCATGATCATATTTATCTATTCGAATTTCGTCAATTATTCAAACATTTTAGTGAAACCAATGAATAAATGGCGTACTAGAGTGTTGTTTACACCTTAAAGCAGTATTTTACTGCATGAAAATAAAAATAAATGTAAAAAATATTCCTTTTTTGTATGTTTGAAAGTAAGGCATGATGACGAGCTAATGCGTGGAAAGTGAACTGTTTTGAAAACACATTGAAACTCAATTGTTTTGAAGTTTTTTCAATAAAACACCCATGCAATTTGAAGAAAAAGAGTTTTTATGATAGTAAAGTGATCTTTGAAAAAAAAATTAGCGAAGATTGACTAAACTAGCGATTGAAAAAATAGGTCCAACCATCATCAGTTTTTGGATAGGTCCAACCAGAATCAAATACCCTAATTTTATTTCAAATAATATGAACGATTCCTGTCCAATTGAAAGGAACAAAAGTGTGAACTTGTGGATCAATATCATAAAATCATAGGAATATTTTTTTTTTTTTTTATATATCTTTATTAAGGAGACTTTCAGCCGTTGGCTGGCTCGTCTCCGACTATATCATAGGAATAGCAATGAAGTCAATTTTGACATCATCTGGACAATTAGTTCAATTTTAAAATGAAATTCCATTGAAACCATTGGGCACAGGTTTTAAATATTTGCAATTGTTGGCGCACCTCAATACCTTTGCCTATTATCGGCAATGAATGAAGGCCATAAGCCCTTATTTTTTGTATGAGTATGCATCACATTTCAGGGCATGGTTTGGTGAAAATTTTGCGTTCATAGGTTCCATTTACTCTACTCTTCTCGTAGATACTTGTTGTGCTGAGTCATTTGACCCTCCGAGCCTTAGATCAAAATTGTTTTTTTTTTCAATAGCCTTTCGGTGTACGAGAAAGACGAAAACCAATAAACTGACAAATCAATGCCTTTTACTCTGTTCAACAACAATGTTCAATGCAGTCAGCTGAATCCATTCAGTAATCAAATCTAGATAGAGCTGGAATTAGGGCGAATCAGCTTTTGTAAACAATGACTTCTCTCGATAATTTTTCATAAGTCATGGCTCTCCCTGGCAAATCGACGTCACGATCGACTAGAGGAAGAGTTCCCCTACCCGGTGGTGCAGTTTGTTTGTACAGGCGTTCCTTTAATGCCTAGAAATCAACGAGAGAAGTCATTGTTTACAAAAGCTGTTACGCCCTAATTCCAGCTCTATCTAGAAATATATTAAATTTAATTAATAAAATAAATATAAAAACCATCTAATTTCATTTATTGTTTATCCACACACTAATAAATTGAACGAAATTTACGTACGCTCTTTTTTAATCCACCTCAACGACGAGTGTTCAAAATTCGTAATTCTACAAAGGGTTCAAATAGAAAACGATATCGTATCGCAACGCATTAACGCAACAGAATTTTTATTGAAACTAACTCCGAAATCGAAATCGAAATGAACAACCATCATCACACAAATTATGCAAAATATGGGCCATTCAATTGCATGATGGCCTCTTGCAATAAATTCTGCGAAACCATTGACTGTACAACATCTCGGCATAAACTAAAACAATATTTTACCTCCATACGGAATCATAACTCATAAGAAGAAAAAAAAGGAGAGCAGACGCTGCTTAGTTTTTATTCAATTCTTTATTTTTTATAGTATTAAGACAAAATTGTACTTTTATATATTTAAAACAGAAACTGAATATGTATGTCAACTAATCTACGTCGGTTAACGAAGCAAATAAAAAATTGCTAGCTTCCATATTCAAGAGCGATACCTTAAGATTTCCTACTTTTATGTTCGAAACGAAAATTAACGATTATTTTATTATTTCTAATAGAAAGTTGTTCATAAACTTCCTACATCTGGGCAAAATTTTAAAAATGTTTAAATGAACATTACGGACGTCACTGTTATCAAATCAGTGAATGAATTAACAGACTAGAAAATATTCTGAACCAAGAAGCAGCACCATGCAAGAAATATTGAACACCACTAGAAACACAAGCTGAAACCCTCACAAAAGAGATTACGTGTTTTCAAGGCTCAAAAGCTTCCACTTCATTTAGCAGGAAAATTCTTTTCACTTCACCGTTTAATAGTTCTAAGCACAATACATTTCACTTTTATATTCCAAAAAAACATCAATCACTTCTCATTTCACCAATTCACCAACTAGAAACTTCCAACAATTTGGATCTAACCTAAGCTGGAGATCCACCTCCAATCCACTGTGTTACCGCGACGAACGATCCTCAAGCACTGAACGCTCTTGGCAAGCCACTGTCACCAGATTTAACCCGTGGAGGCCAATATATAGCCGATGTTTGCTTTATGATAATTAGAACCCACTTCCAAGCAGATATCTCTCAAATATGTACATACATTTTTTTTCTGTTCACCTTCTCCATGCCTTGCTTGCCCTACATGAAGTGACGCACTCGTCTCCGACTTAGAGAAGTAGAATCTCTTCTTAACTGCATTGGGTTCAACACAGCAGGATTCGTCAGCCGAGAGGGCAAACTGAGAAATTTGTTGTGCAACTGATTTTTCTCCGCTTCCTAGGTGTTGGTGAATCAAGCGCGAAGAGTCAGAGCATTCTAGGTTAGGTAGAGCGAAGTACAATGAAAATCTTTCAGCTGGAAAAAGAAAAGTATTCTACTTCCCTTAAAAGGAAAGGGGGACTCAGATGAAGGGGTAGGAAATTTATCAACTGGCAGGAAATACGAAACGTGCCAACATATTTCTCATGGTTTTCTTCTTGATTGCAAGAAAATTCATGGAGTCAATGCCAAATTTGTGGAAAAGTTATCACTTACTCTGTTGTAGAGCAGAGCGTTGGTTTTTGTGTCGTCGGTTTCGCTGAAAATAGGACTGAATGAATATGGTTTCACTGAAAAGTTACTTTCTTGCGACAAATACACAGACCAAGGAAAGAAGGAACAAACTAGAATACAACAATGGGGCTCTGTCCGTTCCGTAGTCAATTCTACATCTCCATATGCGCATATTTTCCAGACGGATCGACGAATGTATGATTTACTGCTTTGCTCTCAAGTGTGAGGCAACTGACGGCATCATCCAAGTTAGAACTAAATAATGCATCCACTCCGGATTGGCACTAAAATAGCTGTGTCTAGCAAGACAGAACGGAAAAGGAGGAGAGGCGTACATAATTTGGTCAAATGCATGAAAACGATGCCTCAGTTCACTCGGACAGGGGTGGTTGGGTGGTGGCTGAAAATGGGTCACTGACACCGTCAGGGTCGCAGGAATAATAATATTATACTGGTAATTCGAATATCAGATTCAGTGTCCATGGTGTTGTTTGAAAATAGAAATGAAACAACATCGTTTCAAAAAAAAAGTGGTCCTATAAATAGTTAACGAAAGGCTTTGTTTTTAGACTACAAGACCAAATCTAGGCCGCCATTCGGAGAGCAGAATCCGTTTACTAGCATAAGTGTTGCAAATTGTCCGAGTGCATATTCGAGCGCACAGGAGAGGTTGAAGCCGTGGAAAATATGTCAAAGTAAGGAACATTGTTCTTTGTAAGTGGACCAACTCACCGTGGCCGTGATCCAAGGTCAGATCTGACAATTCTTACTTACTTAAACTCGGCCAAAATGCTCTAATCTGCAGTGAGCTTTTTTTGGCATGATATCGTTGTGGATCTGGTTACTCAATATTAAATACTGTCATTTCGTGTGTCATTTCCTAGGTTTTGGATCATGTCAGTTTGTGTCCAAAGGAGCTATCCATATACTACGTAGGCAGTTTTGGAGAAATTTCAATAGGGGTAAGACCGTCATTCGTTAAGTGAGGTAAGACCGTCACCCTATTTGGAGTTTTCGGTGTAAGGGTGGGTCACAAATATTCACTCTCAATGGCGTTTTCAATTTGTATTGAAGCCGCCAACAGCTGTGCAAAATTTGAAGGCATTTGGTTTGCGATCTGAAATTAAAAATAACATGTGAACATAAAGGGAAATGAAATGAAAATATGCATTTGCTTGTCACAAACTCACACTTTTCTCAACATTAGATATGTTTGAGATTTAGATTGGGCAACCCATGCAATAACTTTTTTGAACACTGCCAATCAATTCAACTACTGTGCAAAAAGTAAGCTAACCAATTAAGCTGAATATATATGAATCAAGTTGTATGCACATACCTACAAACGTATATAAGGTTAGCGAGCCAGCGACGATGATTCTAATGAATGCTTTCTTAATCATTATGAATACCATCATGATTCACTAAGCCCCGCAAAACATATAATTTAATCAAATTTTAGTATGCAAGAAGCTCGTTTGGTAAAGAGTGCCTGTCTTACCCCATAAGCTTGACGATCTTACCCCGCACTGTTATAACGTACTTTCATTCGTGAATGGAGGTATTTTTTAACTCAGTTAATTAACTTGTGAAAAGGGCTTATTTTTTATGCAATCGTTTTTAACTTTGGTACAAAATTTAGATTGCAACCAAGTTGCCTCAACCAAGTATGCGCCATGGAAGTTATAAAAATAGATAGAAAAATCATGCAGAAGAAATCAATGATTAGATAGCTAACTTTAAACCTCTATTATTTATTTGAAAAATGTATAAATCATGAATTATTAGAGATAGTAAATTGGTTTATTCAGCAAAGTTACTTCATATAAATTCTCCAATTCTTCAAACTTTGTCGAGCATTCGGTCTATCCAAAATAAATATAAAGTTGATTTTGATCTCATGTGGCGTGTTTGCGAGGGTCTAAAATTTAGTACTCATTGCTGCAGTGGAATCTACTACGGCGTCGCGACGCTGGCGCTGGCCCACACGGCTGCTCCTGCACTACCGTGAGGCCGGAAACTTGCGGCGCGAGCTGCAAACAATGTTATTGCTGCTTTGGGGAATGGCGGATCTGGTGGCAAAACATCAGCCACACACGGCTCAGCAAGCGTTGCTGGCTCGTTTGGCTGGCAGGCATCTTCCGTTGTGACAACATCGGCTGACCGTGGCAAGGCCACCTTGGTCGAGCCAAGACGGGACCCTCCTTAGCAATGAAGGCCAGCGGCCTAAGCGACGATCGAGGATCATTACCGATTAGGCGCGGAAGCCATCTTGACTTCCGAGCCGAGCCGTGTGAGACCGTTTTATTTTACGGTACGAGGTCCTAAACGGAGGCAGGCTTTCCAGCCCAAACCCAAAGGGGTTGTATTCTATTTGCACTGCACTTCACACTCAACTGGTCTACATGGACGCCTCCTCATTTGAAGGTTGTTTCATTCTCCACTGTGTGCGCCTCCTGGGTTTGTTATTAAAATACGTGAATTTTCCAAACAATAACAACTCTTACAGACGAAAACCCACGGATTGTAACCAACTGGTTACAAAAGTCAATAGTATCGCAATGTTTATTGTACATAGTCATCATTAGATTAAAAGGCCCAAATTCGGCATAGTTTGTACGATGATAAATGTCTATGACGCAAAAATGGTGCACAAAATTACGTTGGTTTCCCGTAATAGACATAGCGAGAATCAAATCGACCACATCTTTATCATCCGAAGATGGAGACGGAGTCTTTTTGATGTTCGAAATAAATGCATTGCGATTTTGCGTCTCACCTTCTAGTCGATGACCAGCCCAAGTAATCGCCAAGCCTACTAACTACCCGATAATCACCCTTTCAGAGCCAACATTTCAAAGGTGCGTAATTGTATTTGTAAACAATGGCTTTAGTCTTTAGTTTCTCGCGAATAAATGCTCACTTATAAAAAATAATAAAGCCAACAGGTAGAGGAATATTTCCTTTACTATCTAGCATTGTTAACTTGGAGGGGTGAGCGTTTATTTGCAAGAAATCGACGTCTGAAGCCATTGTTTACAAAAGCAATTACACCCCTTTGAAATGTTGACACTGCTTTTTGCTATATAAGGTTAATATAGGGTTTCAGTGCTTTAAAGTCGCATTATAAAGGGCGATTAGCGGGCTGGTTGGGATCGATCGTTTTCAGTTCTGGAATGAGAAACTATGACGGTGATTCAGCACACGACAGCTTGAAGATCCAGCAAGAATAGCTTGAGCCCAGAGCAGTGGGTGTTTCCGAAAGTGGTATTATAGAATAAGAACGGACGGTCATGGGCCAGAAGAGTCAACTGGGCACTCAGAGAAAAGAGTAGATGAAAACTTGGCGTACAATTGAGCAGCCAATGGTATTCGGCTGCTTGGAAGTGCTCATGCAGACGGGACAAGTGAGCGTGGGTGATCTAGTGGGTGGACGACGAAGAGAAGAAATCAGTAACAACTGGTGATATCCATCTGGTTTGTTCAGCATCCAGTAGTCCCTAATTAACCGAACAAGGTTGTCGAAAAAGGCAAGATCAATTTAGGTGTAAGATTATAGAAGTAGCGGCGCCGGGTGTGTAGTGGTAAGTGTGATTACTTCTCACCCCTGGGTTCAATCCCAGTCGGCGCCGCCGGGATTTTCTGAGCCATGAAATCTCTGATCACGTCTTCCTTCGGAGGGGAAGTAAAGCCGTTGGTCCCCGGTTCATGAGTTGATAGGTAGGGTCCAGGTGTGGAAACTGCTTCCCTGGCCTGGCGTCGGTAACATTGGTACTCAGTACGGAAAACAAATCGAAAAAAAATAATAATAATAGAATCGCTATGTTATATAGGGTTAAGTACCCCATTTCCGGAAAATTAAGCACATTCCGCACTAAGTCTTTCTTAATCTAGCGCAGTTTAGCACCCAACGGAATGTTATTATTACTGACGGCTTCCAAATTATTTGCCTTTCTGTATGAACCTTAAGATTTGATAAAGAGAAACCAATCGTTGAGATATTGTCAAAAATCTAACACTGCTTCTTGACGCCAAACTCGGCCTACGGATTCTGAACTCGGCCTAACGCATTGAAACGCCAATGAATTCACTTCGGCCTATCGGATGAAGATAAAACATGATTCGGTCGGAGCGCTTGTTTTGTTTTTGGGAATAATGGGTGCAAACCATCATATCACGCGTTCTTATTGACTTCGTTCCGTAGCTTATTAACTAAAGTATAGTACTAAACGCATAATTTACTTGTTAACTCTGAAGTTATGGATTT